TCTTCCTGGAGGTTTGCTTTATTTGGAGGGTGGGGGGCGGGGGGCCTCAAGCTCTTTTCGTTGCGGAAAGTCTTTGAAGTAAGGGATCTAGAAGAGTGACCCTAGGCGACCAGGGCAGGCGTCTGCTGCTTGGTGACGCTGCTATTCCGGGAAAGTGGAGGCAGAGGGCGCGGCCTTGGCCCGGCAGCCACTCGCTGAAGCCCCTGGCAGGGGTTCGCCAAGCTGTCCTGCCGGGTCCTTCCCATCCCCGCCGCCGCCGTGACAGCTGGGGGTCTAGGGAGCCGACTGGAGGAGACCCGCGCATTGTCTGCGCGCGATGGGGACGTGGGCGTGCCGGCTGCCTTCACCTCCTCCCGGACCCGGCAATTGTATTGTGTGGGGAGGAGCCGGCCGAAAAGCCCTGGGGTAAGCTCGGAACCAGCACCTGGGCCTTCGGCTTGCTGGTCTGCTGAGCGGCTGTTCCCGGAGCCCGGAGCCTCCTGGCCAACCCGAGTGACAGCGACCTTCTGCTTATTATAGAGGGCTTAAAACGCCAGAAAGTTCGCGGGCCGCTGGCCACCAACCTTCAGCCCTGGCGGCCCACGCCCTGAGCCCACTTCGGAGGAGGTGCTGTCTACGGATCTGCATTAGAATTTAGGATCCTGGAAGCCCCTTCCCCCACCCCCAGGTTTCAATGCTAGAGGAGGGATTCCGAAGCCTGCCTTTCCCGGGTCTCCTGAGCTCACTGCCGGGAAGCTGCTGTCTGCGTGTCCTGGAACTTAAATTGTGTCAAGTTGTGAGTTGGTAAATATACTCGATTTCCCCCACTCTTTCTTTATTCATGGCCTGGTATTCTCTATGCTACAAAACCTAGGCTCGAAATGTCCTGTCCCAGCACCTGGTCTTGGGGCTGCGCTTACAGCCCAAGTGAGGGATGTCTGTAGGCTGCCCATTGGGGTAGAGGCTCTCGTGGAGTGGACAGAATTCAAATTCCTAGTTGTACTGGAGCCCAGGAAGAGTGATGGTGATCATTTCCTTAAAGCTTGGAGAGTGCTTGCCCTGGAGAGGGAGTTTTGTATTCTATCTCTTGATTTTTTTAAAAAAGAAAAATGCATTAAACTTTTTTGGGGGGATGCCTTGTTCCCCATTCATGTTTGCTCTTGCAATGAGACCCAGTCTTAAAATTTTTCAACTACGTAAATGATTTGAAATATCTGAGACTGTGGAGACTGAGTGTGACCATGTGACCGTGCCCTGGAAAGACCCTTTCAACATTATTCTTGCTGTTACTCACTTTCAGCCTCCTCATCTGTCTCAGCAAGAGACCCAGAGGGCAGCCTCTGAGGGGAGGGGCTGTGGGGGGCTCTCGGGTGTGTTTTCCCCTCTGCTCATCTATTTTGAGGAGCCTTTGACTAGGCTCCTTTGGAATAAGTCTAAGCCGTGCTCCTTCTGGGTTTTAGTGGAAACTGTGTTGGGACGTTTGCTAAGTTGCTGTCTTGGACGGTGCAATGAAACTGCAATCAGATCCTTTTCTGGTAAATTCCAGGAAGAGTGATTTTTTAAAACTTTTGATGTATTTAGGCTGTGTGCCAAGACCAGAGTGCCACTCGAAAGGTGCTCCCCTGCGGGGGCCCTCTGCAGGGCATGGGCAGGAGGAAGCACAGTGGAGGGAGGAGGCACCTAAGGCAAACAGGGCGACCTGGAATTTGTCCCACAGTGTTGAGCCACCCAGGCGTGGTGCCGCCTTTCCTCGTTTTTTTCTCCCTGTGAAGTGAATGCCCTGACTCTTCTTCTGGGTGGCCTTGGGCTCTGTGAGGGCATGTCACCTTCATGACCTCCTTGGTCCTGGAGCCGCCCATCCGGGAAACTGGGCTCCAGTGGGTGCTGCACAGCCAGGGCCCTCCAGGTGTCAAATCTCCCCTTGTCTACACCTCTAAGTGAGCTCACTGTGAGAATGTGTAGCACTTTGTTTCCACCCGTCTCACAAGGGGAAGAACCCATAACAAGAAATCAAGGAGCTTCATTTTCCTGCCTATTTTTCAGTGCCTTCTGGTTCTCTGTTGTTAAAGACCCTACAGGCAGAGTAGAGGTATATTGCTGAATTGATGTAGTTGACAGTAGCATATTTTCAGACATACATGCATGTAGAAGCATTTGGTGGAGGAAGAATCTGACTCTGGCCATCCATTTCCAGGCACTGTACAACTGAAACCAAATCCTTTACTATAAAGTCATCGTTATAAAATAGTTTCTCCAAGTCTCAAACAGGGGCGCACTCATTTTGAGCAAAATTTTAGCAAAACATCATTTCAATCTAAAGATTTGAACAAAAGCAGTTTTAAAGATTTGCAGTCATTCATTCAGTGTGAGGTGTTTGTTTTGTTTTGAGATGTAGTCTTTCCATGGATGGTTGCTTAGGCTGGCACCGACTCCAGAGTAACGGGGATTCCAGGTACGAAACGCCCTGCCTGACTTCAGCATGCATCTGAGTGCTTATTTTGAGGTGGGAAATGGGAGCAGGGCCTTCACCCGCAACCCCCATCTTCTCTTGGGTTCAGCCCAAATCGCCCTGGCTGTTGATAATTGAGCGCGGACTGCACACCACAGGCTCTGTGTCAAAGGCTTCTGGGGATTATCTTTTTGTTTTTATAATGCTGGAAGAGTCGTCAGGCCATCAGCCCCATTTTGGGGTGGAGAAGGTAAGAGAGCAGAATGTTAAAAGACTGGGGAAGGTTTCCTGGTGTGATGAATGAGTCATACCTGCTAAGATCCTTGGCAGCCCTGGGGAAGGGTGCAGCTCTCCTAGGCAGAGCGGAGAGGCCTCACCAATGTCAGGAGGGGAGACCGGGGAGTGGGACTTCTGGATGAATGGTCTGCAAAGAATTTGAATTGCTTTGTAAACTGTTGTAAAGAAAAATCGAGGAATGTGTGATTCTTTGGTTGTCTGCTGTGATGGGGACTGAGCTATCACTGAGTCAAGTCCCCAGCCTAGAATGTGCATTTTAAAAAAAATGTTTTTAGTTGTAAATGGACACAATACCTTTATTTTGTTAATCTACTTTTATGTGGTGATTGAACCCAGGGCCTCACACATGCTAAGCAAGTGCTCTACCACTGAGCCCCAGTCCCAGCCCTAGGATGAGCATTTTTTGAAAGCTTGCTCTGGAGAAAGGAGAGAGTGAATGTGGGGAACTATCCTGTTTTGAAACACGGAGTGACAGCCCTATAAGCCTGGAGCTTGGCTTTGCCACAGGAGACCAGTCTTGGTGGCCGGGCCTCTTATCCACTCACGGGCCTCCCCCATCCCTTCCTGTATTGTTTTCCTTCAGCTCCACCTTCGGAGGGGGACAACTTTCCAGCCTCACTTAATGCAGAGGTAGATATGGGGTGGAGTTCACAACCACCACACTCATGCGTTTTGATGGAAATTTCAAAGCCACAGTTAAGTGATTGATTGATTAGCTCTGCCATTTTGTCCAGCCCACAGTCTTCTCTGTCTCCATGGCTCAAAGGTGGCCTTGTCCACAGTGGATGGAACTGAGCAAGTCTTGTGCCCTGCCGTACTCTGAAAATGGGGCACATGATGGAACCGGTGGGCACACACTGGGTTTCTTGTGAGCATCGTGGTTGGCCTGCATGGTGTGCTGGCTGAGAGTGCAGGGTTGACCTCCAGCAGAGTTGCAGATGGAGTGAGCACTACAGTTCCTTTTTGTACACCATGAGAGCATCTTGTGAAATCCATTTCCATGGGCTTTGCACAGACCGCCTCCTCGGGTGCTCTATTTCCAGCCAGTAGCCCTCAGAGTGGGACTTCCTCTTTTTTTTTTTTTTTTCCTTTTTTGGTACCAGGGAGTGAACTCGGGGGCACCCGACCACTGAGCCACATCCCCAGCCCTATTTTGTATTTATTTAGAGACAGGGTCTCACTGAGTTGCTTAGGGCCTCATTAAATTGCTAAGGCTGGCTTTGAACTCACGATCCTCCTGTCTCAGCCTCCCAAACCGCTGGGATTACTGGCGTGCCCAGCTTGGGACTTCCCCTTGTACCAAAAGTCCAGCTGTAATCCAGACTGGGTAGCACTGCCCCATATCTGTGTGGTCACCCAGGTGCCATTGTTAGACCCCAGACTTGAACACCTCTTGCTCTCTCCTCAGAGTGCCACCCCCCTCTGGAGAGAAGCAGGGAGGAGACCAGGACCCCGGGCACCCTGCACCTCTGCTTCCAGGCTGGGTGGGTGAAGACGGGGTCTGCAGCCAGAATCTACAGCCTATTGATGAAGCATCTTCTTCCGTGACCAAAGCTCCAAGGTCAGGGACACTGTAAATGGCTCGACTCCCTGCCGGCATCCGCTTCATCGTCTCCTTCTCCAGGGATCAGTGGTGAGTCCTGCTGGGTGCATGTGACGCGGTGCGTGTGGGGGTGGGGGCCTCTGGTGGTGGGTGACTTTGTTCCCTGTTAGAGCGTGGGTGACTGGTTTCCTCTTGAGCGTTTGAGTTGCTGCTGGCCCTGGAAGCAGTGGCCCAGAGCGCTGAGAGGCATCCTTCGCCTTTGGTTCTGGTGTCAACAGATGGCATTGGGCTCCTTGGCAGTCTTCAGTGTTTCTTTAACATCTCGGTCCCTACGGAAAATAGCCACGGACAACCAGCAAGACTGTGAAATGGCTATGGGTGGACTGAGCACAGCGACCCTGAGCCCAGAAGGGTGGGCTGGCTGGAGCCGAGCTTTCAGAGAACACATATCCACACAGCTCCTGGCAGACCGAGTGCCACTCTGTGTTCCAAGAGCATCCCCCTTGCCAGCTCTGAGGCCGCTCCTCACAGTGGCTCCCAGGAAGCAGGTGGCAGGGCGGAGTCGGCTGTTGTCTGTCCTCCAGCCTCCCCTGCCAGCCTCCCCTGCAGATCCATGTCCAGAGGAAGAACCATCATTTTTACCATGAGTGCTGGGGGCTAACAAGGACAGATGAATGAGAGAGGGCACAGAATCAGTGGAGGAGAGGTTATAGGAAAGTGTGCTCAGAGGGGCATTTAAAATCGGGGGCTTATTATCATCTTACATAAGGGAAGGGGGAGGGGAGGCACAGATGAGAAAACAAATGGTTTTATGGAAAGATAAGTGGGCCGCTGAGAGAGCCAGGGCAGAGGGGTGGGCATGCCTGCTTCCAGTGGGGGAGGCTGCTCTTCTGTGGTTAGCGCTGACCTTCCCCGCCGCTCCCTGGGGAGGGCTTGCTACAGTGGAGTTCTTCTGCGTTGGTTTGGGGGACTCAGCTCTTAGCAAAAAAGAGGTTTCAGGAGCTCAACTACCTTCTGCTCAAAATGATGCTCCTCACCGCGGCCTGTTCTGGACCTGTTCTCCTGCACCCTCTGCAGCATCCCAGGCCCTGCTGGCCGGTGGAGCAGCTGCAGACTCTCTCAGGTGTGATTTGAAAATACCTGGGGGTCACTTCCCTGGCTGACTTATTTTATATCTACCGGGACTCGAGCCACCATCTTCAAATACTTAGTGTTTAGCTTCTTTGTTTTGTAACTTTGCATTGAGGTAATTTCAAACCCCCAGAACTTACATTCTTTGAATTCTAAGTTGCATTCTTACGATATTCTAAGAATGTTACAAAGAAGTATAGGACACATATGGATCCCAGATGTTGCCATTTGGCTTCTTCCCTGTGTGTGCAGGCAGAGGTAGATAGGGTGTCACACACACTACGAGTTCTAGCCCTCTTAAGAGTTGCAGAGATCAGACCCTTGTTTCTAAATATTTCCATGTCCACTTCCAACGAGCAACATGTTTTCTTGCACCCCAGCAGCTCAAGGCGGGCACTTGCCTAGCTTGTGCAAGGGCGCAAGGCCCTGGGTTCTGTCCCCAGGACTGAAAAAGAAAACAAAAGAAAAAGAAATTCTCTTATATAACCTCCGCATGAGGAGCAAAATTGGGAATTGTAGCAGCTATAAAATAACATTATCTAATTCACAGTCCACATGAAACACAATATCAAATGTCCAGTAATGCCTTTGCTGCTTCTCCCCTCGGGCTCCCACCAGGATCACGCCCGTGTTTGGTTGTCCTGTGGGTTTCATCTCCTTTTCTCTGGAACCATCCCTCGGCCTTTTCTCTCTTTGCGACCCAGATGCTCTTGAAGGACTCAGACCATTTATTTCGTGGCCCATTCCTCGTTTTGGACGTGTCTGGTGCTTCCTCAGGGTCACGCTCAGATGAGGCGTTTGGGGCAGAAATCCCACAGAGGGGAGGGGAGCAGCTTTCTTGCTGGTGGAGAAGGAGCCCTGAGATGGGGTCAGGAGCTGGAGGGGATGAGGTGATGTGGATTGGCACCCGGGCCCAGGGCGGACTCCCGGAGGTAGATGGGTACAGAAGTAGATGGATGTATTCTAGGGGGCCTGTGGTCTCAAGGACACTCCTGGGGGTCCCTGGAGGTGCACCTCTGTCCTGGGTTGGCATGGTCGGGACTTGCTTGCTGGCTAGGAACTTGGGGTTAGCCCAGACATCGCTGTGGTTCTGTTGAAATGCTGTCATCGGGATGGCCGAGAGGGGTGCATTCACTCTTGGTCATGTTTGTCTAAATATGATCCAAAACAAAGTAACAAGATTGCCTTTACCTAAGGCCACAGACGGTCCTCTCTAGAGTCCTGGAGGCCGCTGCCAAGTCGGGGTGTCAAGAGGCCCTCCTGCCCCCTCCAGCTCCCAGCATTCCTGGCATGCAGCCAGGTGGGCCACTGCCCCCCTGTGTGGTCACATGGCCCCCTCCCCATCTCCTTTCTTTTGAGGACACCCGTCATCAGATGAGGAGCCCACCCTCATCTGTGTGACCCCACCTGAGCTAAGTACATCCTCAGAGACCCTAGCTCTGAATAAGGTGGCATTCCAAGTTGTGAGATGACCTGAGTTTTTGAAGGACACCATTTAGTTCCACAAAGAATGGATAAAAGGAAATAAATAGCATTTCAAACTCTTCATACATTATTTTAAAAACTGAAGATAAAATACCAAATGCAGAAGGGCTTCAGGAGGTCACTGGGACTTCCGTCACATTGCCCTGGGTTAGTCTCATGTGTGCTCCCCTGAGACTGGCCATATGCAGATGGCATCCCAAGAACCAGCCTGAGCCTCTGCTGCAGTCACACCTTCTTGAAGGAGAAACCAAACCTCTGGCACTGGTTCCTCCCACTCCCCAAATCCTGTGGAAGACAGGGAGGAGGGACGAATCTGGAAACAGAGGAAGTGGGGCAGCCTGACCAGCCGTGAAGCCAGGGTTTCCTCCCCAGTCTCTGCCCTGCAGTTGACCCCCACGGACCCCCAGGGCCATTCATCATCCAGTGCTTCATTTCTACACCACAGAACCTGGTTTCCGAGGTGGGGTTGCTTCCCCGTGTGGAGAGCTCTGTGTTTAGGGGGCAGGCAGGCCCCTCCTAGGGGCACCTCAGCCTGCATACCCCCTGCCTGGTGCCACCTGCAGAAGGATTAGAGAATCAGGGCAGGAACAGAGCTGGCCCCAGGTCTCATCCCGGACAGCCCTAGAGGCCAAGAACGCAGTTCGTGCTGGGGCTGGGCACTCTCCAGCCATCACCCCATTGAGAGGTGAGGGTGTTATTTCCAGGGTGCAGGATAGTGGATAGAGGGCCTGAGCCTGCGGCCCACCTGTGGGTCAAGCGGCCTTGTCAGTCTGTAGCCTGTGAGTTCACGGTCAGGCTGTACAGCTCTGTGGTCCCTCGCTCCCACCACGCGCTCCAAGGAGAAGCTGTGCTTTCTCCTCCTGCACTGGCTTGCGAGGTGTTGGAGGAACTGAGAACTGTTTGTGCTTCTTGCAGAGATTTGAAAGGGGGCGGGGCAGGGACGCCTTGGGGCTCACAGGCCAGCTGTGGGCTGAAGCAGTTCTGGTCTGGCCGCTCCAGTGCTAGAACCTTCCCACGTGGTAGCTGAGGCACACATGGCAGTGCGTGTGGAGCGGTTTCAGCCAGAGACTCCAGAGACTTCCGTGCTGTGCCCCAGGGGTGCGGTCAGGCAGGAGGACATAGACCAGGCTTCTGCCGTGCGTCCCTGCACTGTAGGCACGGCTCTTGTGCTTTGGGCTTCAGTGTAGACCACGCACTCATTTTTTAGAGTCTACTTTCTTCTCATCTGGTCATTGACGGGCTTGTGGGGGAGATCCTTGAGAAACGTTGGTGTGTTTCCCTGAGGAAGGAGAGCTGTGGGGCACCCTCGAGTCAGGAGCCAGTGCCTGGCTAGTCAGTCTGGTTTTCTCCTTTCCCCGAGGCCGTGTTTCCCAGGCTACAGGGGAGAGGCCCAAGGCCCCACCAGCCATTTTCCCACCTGACATAGGTCTTCATTATTATTTTTTAATCTGGAAACCCTTATCTGGCTTCTGATTTTTCTGGTAGCCAGAGGGGCAGGTACCCCTCAAATTCTAGGATCCTGGGTGTGATTCACAGAAAGCTTCCCTGGAGGAGCAAGTCACACGTTGCAAACACGGCGAGTGGCAGGAATAATGATGCCAGCATCCCCGTGGGCAGGGACATGGGCAGGGATGAGGTCATTGTTGATTCTGATGGTTGCCACACGATTGAAGCCATTGGCCTCTCTGGGCCAGAGGCAGGACAGGTCTCAAGGTGGACAGTGCCTGACCCCACAGCAGCAGCTTCCTGGCCAGAGCCCCTTTGCCTCACCTCCTGTCAAATGCTGTTCCTCCCGCCATTCCCTCCCCAGCAAGTCGTTTCCTGGGTGGGTTCCGTCTGTGGACTGGACTCAACCTCCGCCTCTTACTGCACCTCCTTTCCTCCTTCTGTCCCCCACGCTGCCCAGGCCTGCCCTTGCCCCTTGCTCCTGGCCAGGGCTGCGGGCCAGTGTCTTTCTGTCATGGGCCGCCCTCAGAGCTGGCTGGCACTGCTGCCTCTCCCTCCTGAAGGTCAGTCAAGTGTCCTGTCGGCCTTGCCCATGTGCCTCTGGGGTGCAGAGACTAAACAGCCTTAAAATGAGCGTGATCTGAAGTGCCCGGGACAGCAGGCGACACCAAGGCCTTCTAGCTAACTATTTGTTGTAAACTAACCAACCCCGCCTTCGTGTCTGCTCTGCAAATACTCTGTTCTTCATCTGAGTCCCAAATTTCTCTTTAGTTACAGTTTTTTTAATTGACAAATGTGGTGTTTTGATGTGATAATAAATAGGTATTTGGCCTCTGCCCCTGATCCGAGGCATACAGCTCCAGAATCCTGAAACGACGTCATCTTGTCTGCTAGTGAGGTGACTGGTGGCTGAAGGCTCCTGGTCTTCTCAGGATGAGGACAGGTTGCCAAGGGGACAACTGTGTGATTAGAGGGTTGAACTGGATCACAACCCCTGCGGGAGGAGAGAGGCTGAGGTCACTTGATCGCCAGCAGCAGTGATGTAATCGGCCGTGACCAACAAAGCCTCCAGGTGGCTGGACACGGGGCTGCAGGGTGGTGTGGGCATGGAACCTCGCCCTCTCCTGCCCCTGCACAGCGTCTCTTCCAGAGGCATCCCTGGTAACAGCTTCATGACAAACGGGCAGAGTCCCGCAAAGTGCTGCAGTGATACCCGAACCTGAGGGGAGGTGGTGGTAACGCGGACTTATGGCCAGTTGGTCACAACCTGGGACCTGTTGACCTCTGAAGCTGGGGCTGTCTTCTGCCACGGAGCCCTCGGCCTGTGGCACCCAAGGACCCCTGCAGGCAGGCAGGGTCAGCAGGAGTTGGCGTGCAGTGCAGAAGCCCCCCTTGGTGTCCACTGAGAACCACTCCATGCAGGGACAGCCCCACGTCTGCTGTCCAGAGTGGCCTGGGGGGTGGGGGTAAGGGTGGGAAAAGCCGGTTTCTCCTCTTATGACATTTAAATGGTTTCAGTGCAGACAAGTGGCCGTGCGGACTTGTTTTAGGTCGTGCTGTTGCGGTGATGCGTGAGCAGGGCCAGCGGCTGATCCCCGGCAGGAGGCGTGCAGGGCGGGCTCCCCCAGCCGTCTCACCCGCCTCCTCTGCCTGTGCTCTGTTCCAGGTACAGGGCCTTCATTTTCGTCCTGACGTTTCTGCTGTACGCCAGTTTCCACTTATCCCGAAAGCCCATCAGCATAGTGAAGGTAAGAAACGACCCGGATCACTCCATTTCATATCCTGCCTAAACTCTCCATGGGGAACCAGCTACTCAGGAAGTTTGAGGGAGGTGAGGCTCGCGGTGGGCAGGGAGAAAAGAAATGGTTAGAAATAGGTTTTTTGCTGCGTTTTTGGTTTTTTGCCCCTACATTCCCGTTTCAGAAATTTAGACCTTTGAAATGTTTCTAGGCTTTATAATTTTAGAGTTATTATGCTTGTATAAGTTAGCAGTTCCAGAATTTTCTACATTATTTAAATATTTACTTTATCTTATGCAAATTTTCTTTCCAAGTACATCTAGTTCTAAGTGGTTTCCCAAATTGCTTCAGCCCTGAGTCTCCCACTGAGGTGGTTCTCTGTGACTCTCCGACCCTGTGTGAGGGGCGGGCGGGAAGCTGTTGAACAGGTATCCCAGTAGATCTGAGGAAGACCAAAGCAGACATTCCTCCATAATGACCGGTCCCTCCTCCTGCCCACAGACCATCTGCAAGCTTGGATAGCCTTTGACTCTTGCTGTAGAAGGAGCCAGGAAACTGCTGTGGCAACAGCCCATGTGCAGCTCAAACACCCCTCGCTTACCGTCCCACAGCTGCAGGCACCAGGTCCAGAATTGTGACCCTGCGACCTTGGAGCCAGCTTCCTCCCCTCCCGCAGGGCCAGGCAGACAGCTGCCCTGCAAGTCCTCTGGGCAGTGGGAGGCAGCACCCAGGCCTCTACTTCTGTGGCAGGTCTGCATCCCTCCCCAGTGCCTTTACCTAGATGTCAGGCGCTCAGTGACTCAAAACCTTCTCCAACTCCCCCAGACCCTTGGGCGCTGGAGTTTCTGCACCCGTCTAGTGGCTGACTGGGATATTTGCAGACCTGTAAGCACATGGTTTTCAGGAGAGCTAGAGATTAGAAAAGAGGCGACGGCCTTAGTAAATTCTCACCTCAGCAGCAACAGCCCCTGGAAGTTTGAATGCTGCTGCTTCTTGTCCTTTTGGTTAGAGAAATTCATGGACAGCTCAAGAAAATAGCAGATTACAAAAATGGAAGAGACCCCTGCAGCAGGAGTGAGCATGCGGAGCTGGAAGGCACCGTCACGGGGGCCCTTGTAGGGCTTCGAGACTTGACCTGGGAAGGTCTGGGTGGATCGTGGGGGCGTGACCGCCTCCAGGACCAGATGGAGGGATGCAGCATCACCCTGAGGCCACCCACCTCTTGGGCATGTAAGGCAGGGCTGGCCAGTGGAGGGCCCCAAGGTCAGGAAGTGGCCCTTGGACTCCATCCGATGGCCACCAGCATCCCCGTCTGGCCAGGAAGGGATGTGAGCACGGTTTATGTCCACTCTGCCAGCCCCTGTAAGGCCCACCCCAACTCTGGTGTGCAGGAGTGTCCCCTCCTGGGCTCCTAGGGCGTACTGAGGAGGGGTCTTGTGTTAGGCTCTCAGGTCAGTATTTCACAAGGAGCAATGACTGCAGCGGAGGCCCCTGCTGTGACAGGCCGCTCACAGCAGTCCTGTGAGGATCCTTCCCAGGAAGCCAGGCCTCCCTGCAGGGCTGGGGCTCACTCGGGCAATACCAGTGGCTGTCCTGACTCCAGGCCCCTCTTCAGTCACTCTGCCTCAGGGTCTCCAGGACATTGAATCACCTCAGTATGGTCAGTGTCTCAGCTAGGCTTTCTTTAACACCCAGAATTTCTGATTCGGCACCACGGGGCTACCTGGGTATGGATTGGCCGTTTGCTGAATCTTATGGGCTTCTTTGCCTTTTAAGATAGATAAAAATACACTCCCCACATGGTAACTCGGACTTTACGCTCCTTGTGAAGTTTCACAGGCTTTAGCTCATGTTGTAAATAACAGCAGAGAAGCTGCAGGCAGTAAGGATTCTGTTGACCCAAGGAACAGTTTGAATAATTATCTAAAGCTTGCGTTTCTAGAGTTGTTATGAACAGAACTTACCTGCTTACTTGAAATTGGTCAGCAGGGCTTGTAAATGATAAAGTGGTTCATGGTTGATAACTCATTTACAGAATATCACGGCCTCTCAGGCCAGGTTTAGACTTGACTGTAGTCACTGCTGATTAAGTTTATTTATCTCTGATTAAAAACTGTCTATAAAAATGACGACATGAGCAGGGCTCGGACCATGGTGGTGTCACACACAACCCTTGTCCCTTTTCCTGCTGCTCCACCCGCATCCTGCCTTGTGACTCGAGGCCGGTGTCCACCCAGGCCGCTAGGGAGGTGAGGTCTGCACCCTCCTGCCAGCGGAGACCTTTGGGGGACCCTTTTCCCCAAGGCCTGGCAGGGAGCTTCTCAGACAGCTAAGCTGCCGGTCCCTGGACAAAGGCAGAAATGGGGACATTGCTTAGAGTGTGCCCAACCCTCTCCACCGACACAAGAGCTGTGAGAAGAAAACTTTAAAATATTCAGAGTCAGACGGACAGCAGGAGGTCTGAAAAGTCAGAAGCCGCACTATGGCTTTGGGCACAAGCTCACTCTCTAGCACCCTGAGCTCCCTGGGTCTCCCTGGGTTGACGTTTGAACAGAAGGCAGTCCAAGAGACGTTTCAGCAGGGATTTTTTTAATTGAATAAAATCTTAAAGTTTAAAGGATGTCTAGGAAGTCATCACTAAAGAAAGTGTGGGAAAGATAACATGTTTTGCTGAAATGAAAATGTGAAAAAGCTTAACATGTTTTTCAATATCAGCTGAGTTATTAAGATATTGCATGAAAATAGACAAAATGGTCTACAAAATAGAGAATATGGCATATTTGAAGGTGATGAGAAAAGTGTAGGTGTTTATGTACCTGGTTTGGGTGTGGGGATGGAAGCCAGGCCCCCGTGCTGGATCTGCACACACTCCCCCCAGCCCCACGCCTGCTCAGCATAGCTTACTTAGTGTTGGTGTTGGCACAACTGGGTATTCATCTACAGGACAAAAAGTTTCACTCCCTATCTTGATAATAATTATAACTAATCATAATAATAAATGGGTGATTACATATTTAAATGTAATAAATACAAAACAAAAATCCAAGAACAAGACTGCATATCTTAGGAGTATGAGTTAGGAAACCCAGAGGAACAGTGGATGAGGGCATGAACAGGCAGTTCACAGGCCCGAAATCCACACTCCAAGAGACGCGTGAACCACATTCAAGTTTGTTAGAATTCACAGATGCAGATTCAGGTCACACAGATGGCTTTCTGAGCTCAGCGGGCACACTGGGAGCCTTCCCCTGTCGGTGGTGGTGTGTGGAAGAACTCCAGTCGTCAGGGTGTTTGGACAGTATTCTGGGAACACCTACTGAAAGCCCCGGTACAGCTGCCTGATCCTGGGCCCTGTCAAGGGCCAGTGACACAGAGAGGTGCTGTCTGTCTATGACCCGTCTTTACAGCAGCCCTGGGACTCAGACACTGTCATGCCAGCTCCAGAGCTGGGAGAGCAGCTGCGGTCGCCCAGGGCAGGACAGGCACAGGGGTCCACAGCGGCTACCTGTCTGCAGACGTAGCCTGTGCCCCTGACCAGATGTCAAGCCATGCTCCTCAGGTGACAGCGCCAGGAAGCTTTTTCTGCTGGCGTGTGAATAAATAGATCACTTCTACTCTGTTGTATTTTCTGGGGGTGGTCCTCCCCAGAACGTTACATGGTGAAGGAGTATGTGAGAATGGTGCACCAAGCGGTGGTCTGCAGAATTCCATTTTCTTGCTTCTGCCTAAGGCTACGTCAGACACCTCAGGTTAGCCCTGCAGACAGTTCCCCCTTGTCCTGGCAGTGTACCCTTCTGTCCTTTTGTCAGGGAGCTGGACAGGAGAGCCTGCAGGCTGTGGCCAGGTGGGCCTCTCAGCTGCTGTAAGAAGAGGCTGGGAAGGATGGGCAGGGACACGAGACTTCTGGAGGAGCAGAGAGCAGTATGAAATCAGGGGAGGGACAGGGAAAGGAAGGTACAGGAACCCTCAGGTCACCCCTGATCCTGTTCCCTGGGTGCAGCAGGTGGCCCACGGGGAAGCAGGCAGGTGACTGCGTGGATTAGCCGGACGGGGAGGCCTGTGCGGCCCAGGAAAGCTGTTTGGAGGTGACGACATTGCGTGTGTGAAGTGGAGCTCTGGGCTGGTTTTAGGGCAGTATTTAGCCCAGTGGTGATGGCGGAGCACGTTACCCAGAGCAGCCGTGTGCATGGACCCTGCCAGGGCTCAGTCACTGGTACCCGGGTAAGCAGGCTGTGGACCTGGTGTCCAGCCTGGCTGGCCATGGCGGGCAAGGGCTGCCTTTCACTGCTCCCTCCTGAAGGAGGTGGACAGGACTTCTGGCTGCCACCTACTGGTGACCAGAGTGGCCCCTTGCCCTCTGCGGTGCCCCACGGTGTAGCCAGCTTTCCATGCCACATCAGCCCCTGCCTCTCAGGCTCCAGCTCACTGAGGGCCCCCTGAGGGACACTTCCCTGACCACAAGGACCCCTCCTTCCTGCCTTGCTCACCCCTGACGGACTGGTTCATCTGAGCTCTTATGAAAGAAGCCACAGGACAGGAGAGAGTGCGGAGGCCACCCGGGAGGTGCCACCTGTGACAGCAAGTTGCTTGTTCCTCAGTTTCCCCACCACCAGGTGGCCCCAGCTGTGACGGTTGTTCTAGGGAATGTGGCAGGAAGCCCCTGCCCACGTCCCCTCTCTGCCTCCTGACCACAACTTGCCTGTCCCCGGGTCTGCAGCCCGAGGGCCGTGCTAAGCCGTGGTGCTCACCGTCACCATCCCAGTGACTGTTGTGCCAGTGGGCAGCGGCCTGACTGCAGTGGGGGACGCTGAAGCAGGACAGTGAGTGGCCTGCTCTCCCTGCCAGTCTTTGGCAAGCTCCCTACCTCGCCCTCCTTGGCCCCAGGGTTGCTTGCTGGTCTTGAGGACCCCATGGTGGACTGGTGGCCTCCTCACCCAGGCCTGATTTTAAAACTGGGGTATGATTTGTCCATAGTAAACTACACAGGTGTTGGGTGTCCGGCTAACAAACCTTGGCCTGCATCTGGGTGTGCAGCACCCAGGTCAGGGATCCGGCCCCGTCCAGCTCCCTGAAGGCCCCCTGTCCCCGTCCCCTTGACCCTCCTCTGGGAACCACAAGTCTCACAGCCAGCCCTGAGCACTCATCTGCCTTGTCTTCGTAGAGATGGAATCATACAGAGGGAGCTTCTTAATATCATGTTTATGGGCCTCGTCCTCCCTGTGGCACGGCCTGGGCGTGTTCTTTCTTGTGGTTGTACAGTTGTCTGCATCCGACAAAACGGACCTGCTGCTTCCCTTGTGGGCAGTGAAGGGAATGGCAGGCCATCCTCAGCCCCGACCCCTTGGTGGCTGTGTGAATGCTCGTTAGTGACACGTGTGTGTAGGAGTGGGACTGCTGGTGAGCCACCCCACAGCGGCTCCCGAGGCCCCCCAGACCCCTCCCCAGTGGGCCTCATTTCTGCCTGAGGAGGCAGTTCCCTAGGACGAGGGACGGCCCAGGCCGAGCCTCTGAGGACACTAGCCCTGCTCTGTGCTGCCTTCTCCCCAGGGTGAGCTGCATAAGCACTGTGCTGGGGGTGAGGCTGAGCCCAGCTTCAGTGGCCAGAGCAGCGGCGCCAGCCACAGGCCCCCTCGCCAGCTCCCGGACAACGAGACCGACTGCGGCTGGGCCCCGTTTGGTGAGTTGAGCGTCAGCCCACCCGTTTGTCCAGGTACCCCTGGGCCTGGCCTGTCGCAGCTCTCCGGCCTTGCTGATTTGAATGCTGTTCTCAGGTGTGAGTGTGTCTCCATGCCAGCCCTGTCCTGGCAAAGAGCAGTCATCACAATGTGACCACCACGTCTGTGGTGACAGCACTTGCCACCCTGAAACGGTTCTCCAGTGCTCAGGAAACCTAAAGATCTTTTATATTTTGCATTTGTCCCACTTGGAAGTGAATGGGAAGAAGAGAGAAAGCACTGGGACCTGGTGTGGGAGGCTGAGGTCAAGCCAGGGACATTCAAACACCAGGTGACCTGGCTTTTCCCCCCCGGGAACAGTGGGGATCGTGTCTGAACCAAAAGGTGCATATTCAGGGATAACTTGAAAATATGACACTTGATTTTTCTTTGCAAAAAAATTGAACACAATTTGGGCTACCAAGCTTTCTGTGTTCAGAACCAGCCCTCCTACTTCCTGAGCACCCCCGCATTTAGATTTCGAGAACAGTTGTTTTGTATTTTGTAGCACTGCTCCAGAACTAAACTAAGCTATGCTGAGCATTTCCTGTTGATTTTCCAATCTGTGTAGATAAGAACAACTATCAGCAGCTGCTCGGGGCCCTGGACTACTCCTTCCTGTGCGCCTATGCTATTGGGATGTACCTGAGGTAGGTCTGCTTGAGTGGCCGGACGCATCCCCGGGCTTCGGGTCCACGTGGTATGGAAATGTTCCCAGTGCGTGGAAGTACACAGGAGTGGGAGGGACAGGGCCCTGCACACAGTGGCTTCCCTCCTGGGATCTCCCTAAGGCAAGAATGAGTCCAAAGCAAGTGTCCAGCACTGTGTCCACAAGGTGGGACCTCAGAGCCGTGTCCCAGGATTTCCATCAACTGGACAGAGGCGGCCGTCAGCTTTCCTGGACCTGGTGGGCAGAACGTACTGCGAATCCTGCCGGTCCTGGGCTGTGGTCACAGAGCAAGGGACACTGGAGGCCCCGTGGGATGCTTGGCAGAGTGCATCCTCACAGAGGTTTCAGTGGCTGCCCTCTGTGCACAGACCAAGTGACTCTCTGGTTGGGACAGCTGAGGCAGCTTGTGTGGACACCTCCCCCGGGTGCCCAGTGTGGCCCCAAACAGTATCAGAGCCCCAGGGGCAGCACCACATTCAGCTGCAGCTGGAGTGGGGACAGGGCTTGGAGATGAGCCCCTGCTTCACCACCTGCCACAGTGTGGCCTTGGGCAAGTGACCGCACTAGGGCCTTAGTTTCTCCTTTAAAACTGGGGGAGATCATAGTTCTTGCTTATAATTGGTGAGGACGAAGCTGGTAGACCCCCTGGGGCTCAGAACAGTGCAGGGCCGTGAGGGCCTGGCCCTAGGTAAGGACTAGGTGCCCCGCAGGTACAGGCTGTGGCTGGCTGACCTAAGCTATTCCCTTAGACCAGCGGGGGCTGTGGGGCACATAGCAGGCACTAAGGTGTTGGAGCCAAGAGGCTGTTGCCCACGGCAGATCTTCAGAGCTCTGAGAACCTCAGGGAAGCCTGTAAACGATTAGCAACTTCCCTGTGGCCTCCCTAGAGCCTGGGATCAAGACCCAGGCCCCTCCTGGCTCAGCCCTGGGGTGGCCAGTGCCCCGGTGAGCACCTTTGCAGCCCCTGTCTGTGATGTCCCCATGCTCAGTGCTGTAGCGCGCTCTGTTAGGATTCAGAAGCCCAGCATGCAGTGCGGCAGGACAGGGGCCAGCCAGAGGGCAGGGTGGTGTGGCCTTGGGCCTGCTCGGGGCCTGAGCTGGCCAGACACCCTCAGAGGTCACTTGTGTTCATGTTATGAAGACTGCAGCTCTGCTGGATTCAAACCATCTGTAGTTCTAAAGACCCAAGGCCAGAGTGCTTTTCTTGGTTACTAGAAAGCAGTGTTTACATCCGACTTTCAGCCAGGGGTGATTTTGTCCCCTAGGGGACATTTAGTAATGTCTGGTGACATTTGTGGTTGTCACAGGAAGGGAAGAAGGTGCTTCTGGCATTTGTGGACAGAGACCAGGGTTGCGGTTATACATCCTGTAAGACGCAGGAGACTCCTCACCCCAGTGCCTCTCGCCCCACAAATCCAAGGTGCTGTCTTCAGAAGCCCTGGCACAAGGGGAAGGTGGTTTTATTGTTGCTTATTTATGGCAAAGATGACTTTTCATCCAATTCCTCAGTGAGGCCATTGCAAGGAAGCTCTCTCTAGCGTGAGATGCACGCTGCGGTCTCAGATCAGAGGCAGGGCGTGCGCTGCCTCCCTGCCAGGCCGGTTAGTGTGACCGCCTGGCACTGTGGCCAGCTCAGCTGACTGTGGAGCCACTACCCAAGGTCTCGGCAGTGGGTGTTTCTTGGTTTGGTGTATCCATATGCAGCATGTCCATGGGCCCAGGTCACTCCTGGAAGGTCCAGCAGCTGCAGAGTGGGCCTGAACCCCTGAGTGAGTACGTAATCATGTGGAGTGGTGTCCACTCCTTCAGACCTGCTCTTTAAAACCTTTCAAGTGGACATCAAATATGGACCCCGCATTGGGGAGCAAGACGACAGGCTGCCTCTAAGCCCCAGCTGACCGCCTGCTCTCGGGGCCCTCTGGGCAGCCTAGCCAGCCTCTCTGGGACATGTTCCCAGCCTCTGAAGGAAGCAAGGTGAAGCACCCCCGGGAGCTCCGGAGTGATCTGAGTCTGTGTGGTCGGTCCTGCTCAGCCGACGCTGACCTGGATGTACTTGGCCTCTTGCTGCCTCCGAGTCAGTGCTGAGAAGGTGGTCCGCGTGGCCTGTGTAGATCTGTGTGCCTGGTCGTCTCGGGAGGAAGCGCTCTGACGTTGGGTTCTGGTGGTAAAAGGTCATGTTGGGTCAAGTCCAGGGGCAGGCGGGGTCACCCGGCGGTATTCCTAGAGTGGTTACGTGACGTAAAGCGGGACCCTGGCATTTAATGGCTGCACGGGGCTCACATCACCTGTGGTGCCTCTGGCCTTTTACTCACTCAGGTTACACTGTAGCTCCTTAGGGACAGTCCCCGTAAAATCCTAGAGTGTGACATGAGGCAGTGTGAGGCCACAGCCTGCTTGGCACCCGCCCTGGCGTGACCTGAGTCTTGCCACACCGTCCACCGCCATCGTGGTCTGTGTAGAGTGCCCCTTACGTGCCGGACTCACGCCTGTTGGTCTCATCTGGAAGCTGGCTCTTGTCCCCGAGTCCTGTCGCTGCTTTGGAGGATGAGTGACATCCACCCTGGGCCTCAGACCTTCCTCTGTGGGGTGAGAAGATGACACAGGCACAGGTCGCTGTGGCTCGAGGTGGTGGCTGGAGCCTGGCACATTCATGGGGGAGGGACTGGCTCTGCGTCACTGTCCCCTTCCACGGTGTCCGTCTGTAGCTTGGCAGTTGGGATTTAAATGACTCTGTTTGTTGAGTGGACATTGTTTGTATTAAAGCGGGATCGACTAGCAGGACCAGTTTTGTTTGTGTAGCTGGCAGTGTCACAGGTGAGTGACAGTGTGTGAACTTGTTACTTGACGGTTAGTGACTTTTGCTAGAAACGGGGCATCTCCCAAGGTCTGCCATGGCCTTTCCGGCCGAGGGAGTGAACGTTCTACGGGGAACAGCAGTGTCCAGGCTTCCTGGGAATCGCTGAGCTTCGAATTCTGGAAGCTCAGGGAGCAGCGCACAGCACCCGGGGGACACAGCGGCATCTGGGCAGAGTGTGTCTAGTGCCTGACGTCACCTCTCCTTCCCCCCCTCAGTGGCATAATCGGGGAGCGCCTGCCCATCAGGTACTACCTGACGTTCGGGATGCTGGCCAGCGGGGCCTTCACCTCCCTGTTTGGGTTGGGATACTTCTACAACATCCACAGTTTCGGATTCTACGTGGTCACGCAGGTAAGGGTCGGGGTTCCGGTGACAGGCCGGGGCAGTTAAAATGGAGCTCTTCGGAGTCACTCTGCCCTGACCTGGGTAAACTTGGGATGCTCTGTCCCATGACCTCTGACCACTTGGGAGGTGGGGGACATGGGGTGTGGCAAGCAGAGACGGACGGGCTGACTTTGGGGGCCTTGGCAGCAGGCAGGGGTTTGAGAGGAAGGGCGGATCCTGCCGGTGTAGGAGAGGGAGGCCTGAAGAGGACCGGAGGCCTGGCTTTGCCCTTCTCTCTGGGCCCCTTCCGGGATCTCTGGACCTCGGGAATCTCTGGCTCCAGGCTCCCCACGGTCCTGTGGTGTTGCCCACTGGGAATAGCGACGCCCCTCTGGTTCTGTGGTTCTTCTGGGCTTCTCCACGGGGAGTTAGAAAATCATCAAAGCAAACTGTATTTAATTCTGTTTTTCACGATTTTGCCACGATACTTCAAAAGGCTTGGCTGTTTAATTACAAAAGTGATTCATGCTCACACACGGCCGTTCCCAGCATCCGTGGGGAGGGGTCCCAACCCCCTGCAGTTACCAGAACCCACAGCTGCTCAGGTCCCTTCTGTGAAACGGCAGGGGTTTGCTCAGAAGCTGCCCACACTCTGGTGGGCGTCAGTCACCTCCAGATTACCCGCATCCCTCAGACAGGGCACGTGCTCACTCCCATGTCAGCAACTGCAGGAGCTCGTCCAGGCCTGGCTGCGGGCTGGCCCTGTGGGTGGTCGAGTCCTCAGAGGCAGAGCCCTTGGGCCACAATGATACAGAAAGTTGGAAGGAAGGAAAAGCAGTTTCCAGAGTCCCCGTGTGTTCAGGGTGAAGGCGGAGCCTGGCCAGGCAGGGCAGCTGCAGGTCGATGGGCGGCACCGGGCTGGACTTGACTCCTGGGGCCTTAGAGGGTGTCCCAGTGTCCAGCACCAGTACATGCCCCAAGTCCCTTCATGAAATCACGGGGACAGGAGTGCTCCCCAGGCGCTGAGTGCAGTGTGGTCCCTGCAGAGGCTAGCAGCCGTCTTGCGGCACAGGGAGGGAAGATGGGCCTTTCTAAGCCTCTTAATGGTACGATTCATAAACAGTTCTATAAAAAGAAGAAGCATTTTCTCTCTTCATAAAATTTTTAGATTGCACAGAGCCTGGGAAGCTCAGCCCTGAGCTGTGAGCGGGAGCTGTTCCTGGCAGTGTCCTGCCTGGCGCTTCCTGCTCTTCCCTACTACTCTAACATTTCCACGATGTGCACGTTGGAAGTCTCACCTAAAATATATACATAGAGAGTTTAAACCGAATATATTTTAAACTACATTTATATAGGTATCCTACATATAGAAACTACGTATATATGCTTTAAATCTTATAACTTAAACATTATAAATATGAAATTTTAACTTTGTGTTTAAGGGCTGCGGTGTAGACAGGTGGTAGAGTGCGAACTTAGCATGCACAAGGCTCTGGGCCCGCTCCCAGCACTAAAAAAATACAACTTTGGCTGCCAAGGCGCGTGCACAGAGGAAACAAGGTGTTGTCTGCTTTTGCGAGAGGCCCCTGCAGTGTCCCAAGACCCAGGGGAAGGGTGCGGCAGCTGGGGGAGCCCACCTGAGGGACCGCACATGCTCATGCCTCCTCTCTCTCCCTGCAGATCCTCAACGGACTGGTGCAGACCACCGGCTGGCCCAGCGTTGTCACCTGCCTCAGCAACTGGTTTGGGAAAGGAAGGTGAGAAAATGCAGCCGTTCCCCACGGGGCCTGTGTTTAAAATATGCTGATGGAAACCAGACCACTCGCTTCCCAACTTTCTTTAAAGTAAGATGGTTGGAACCTTGAAGTCCAAGGTGAGGGCTACACCGTCACTGGGTAGAGCCCCACCTCTGGCTGTGTGGGTGGTTCCAGTGTGTGTCATTTGGACTACACCCGTGGTCACTCTCATGGCCACCCCCTGGATGTAGCCTCACCCAGCCTTCCAGGAGCCGTGGGAAATGCAGAGTCCAGGGACCCATCCAGCTGTTTGGATGCCAAATTTCCATTTTAACGTGGCAGTTGGAGAAGTCCTGACCCAGGTCACCCAGTGCATCAGAAACAGGGCTGGGGCCCAGCTCTGGTGACTTGACTGCAGCGCAGGGTCACTTGGAGATGTCCACGTGAACGGACAGCACAGCCAGGCTGCAGTTCGTTAGGGAGGAAGGGAGCTGGCGAGGCACATGCTCCAGGCACCTGGCCTGCGGCATCCCAGCTTTCCTTACCCGATGGGTCCTCCTGAGTCTGGGTTGAGCCTGTGGAGTTAAATCTTGGTCCTTCTAAGAATTTCAGGAAAGGGCCTCTTTCTTCTTTTTAGTTGTAGAATAAAGAAGCTCTGAGAGAGAAATGGAGTGTGTCGTTGTGTAGCCTGTGGCAGAATGAAAGTCGGGTTCTCTGGTCGGCCTCTTGGTCCTGCGCCCTGGGGAAGGCTCTCCCTACCCACTCAGGCGCCCTGCACCAGGACCAGCCCAGCTTCTGGGCACCTCACTGTGCTGGCCTTGTGTTGCAGGCGAGGGCTGATCATGGGCGTCTGGAACTCCCACACCTCGGTGGGCAACATTCTGGGCTCCTTGATTGCTGGCTACTGGGTGTCCACGTGCTGGGGCCTGTCCTTCATCGTGCCTGGGGCCATCGTGGCAGCCATGGGGATAGTGTGCTTCCTCTTCCTCATTGAGCGTAAGTATGCCTGGCCCTGGGGGCGGCTCGGAGAGGGTCTCAGCTTCACCTGCCTGGAGGGGCAGGGGCAAGGTGGGTGTGGGCTGCCGCCCAGCTCCCTGCATGCACCTTCACACTGCTGTCCCCTGGCTCATGAGACTTCCTGTTCACATACAGGCCTACCCGGTGCCCAGCCCCCTCCTGGTCTTGCTGGATCTCCCACCGTTTCCTGGTTTCCGGGGTGACCATTGTAGAAATCCCTCCTTCTGCCCTCCTGCCCCTGCCTCCTCCCTCGGCCTCAGGCATAGTGTCCAGGACTCTCCTCCTCCTCGGGCTGCCACGGCACTCAGGCCTGGGGGAGGCCAGCCAACGTGGCTGCCCCTGCTCACCCCAGCCTTTCCTCCACAAATGGCGGTGGACCTTGCCGGCTTATTTGCTTTGTGATAAGCTGTATCTAGAACAACGCTATAAACCATGGCATGACCTAAGGCTGGATGTCTTAATTACTGGAGTATCTACCGGAAAACCAAGACTTTCCATTCCAGAGTCAATACTAAGCTTTTCATCTAACTGATTTTGAAAATGATTTTCTAAGTAGAGATCCGGCAGGACGAGGGTTTGAACGATCAGGCTTGACAGAGATGCCAGCTGTTCTAGCCTTGCAAGCTGTTCTGGTAGATGTTTGGCACTTAGCTCTTTGATTGACTTGAAGCAGAATACCAGCATAGAGAGCTCACGTGGCAGGACAGGCCCATTGTGACCTCCCCAGGCACGGGGCGCAAGTTAGGTTTCTCTGCCTGGGCTGGGCACTCCAGATGCCAGCTCATCTAACACAAAATGCATGTGTCTTCTCTTTACTTCTCACTTTTCGTTGTTGTTGGTAAACCTAACCTTGTTTGTTTGTTTGGTACCAGGGATTGAACTGAGGCTGCTTAACCCATGAGCCACATTTTTAAAATTTTTTTATTTAGAGTCAGGGTCTCACTGAGTTGCTTAAGGCCTTGCTAAGTTGCTGAGGCTGGCTTTAAACTTTGTGATCCTCCTGCCTCAGCCTCCTAAGCGCTGGGATTACAGGCGTGCACCACTGTGTCTGGCTCCAAAACTAACCTTTTAATTTTTAAAATATCCAGCTTCCAACCAAGTTAGGGTTTTGAGGCTCCGGGACCAGGCTGCTTCTATGTGGACAAAAATGGAAAGGAAAATTCAGATGTCGAGTTCATCGGCATGCCCCTCCCCCACCCGGCCCCGCCCATCCTGTGTCCATGCTCAGCCACTTCAGCAGGCGTCCGGCTGGCCAGGCAGTGTCCTGTGGCACAGGCAGGCCTTCTGACCTGCTGTCCAGCGTGCCAGTGTGTGGCAGCTAACTAATGGCACGCCACTGGCGTCAGGAAAGGCTGCCCATACCCACGCCCCTCCGAGCTGGCTCTGTCCTCTAGTCCTCAGTGGGTGAAAGGGTCAGTTCTGGGGCAGGAGGAGTGTATGCTGATGCCTACGCGGCCCAGGACCTCGGTGGCACCCCAGGCTCAGTCATCCTGGACGGGTGTTGTCCTGCTCAGGAGGGTGCCGAGACCGGAAGCTCTGGTTTGGCCTTTGGTGATTAAACAGGAGTGTCCTTTTCATGAGCCTCCACCCCCGCAGCATGAGGCGGGGCAGGTCATGCAGGAGGACTGCCCCGCACCCCTCCTGTGACCTGCTGGGCCACCTCACCCACTGTTGCCAGGTCTTGGGGCCCTGTTTGCTCCTCCCTCGTCTACGCTGGGGCAGAATCGCTGTCTCCACTGTCCGGGCCACTGGGCCTTGAGCACAGCACAGGCCTTGCGGGCTCCTGGGGGGTTTGGCTAGACCGACGTGGTGCGCTGGCCCCTCAGAGCTCTGGCCTCCTCTGTTCTCCTCGGCTCTGGGAGGGAAGCGCCACTGGATTGACAGGCTGTCCTGGGACCCAGGGGAAGGAGGCCATGCTGCAGGGCCCAAGTCCCACTCGGTTTTGCTTCCTCCTCTCTCCACGGTCAATTCCCCCAGTTCCAAGGGGGTTTTCTTGCACATAATCTAGGCTTTTAGTCATCACTAGGAAGTTCTGAAGTTCCGTGAGGGCCATTGAGCGCTCACTGTTCCTGTTCCCCAGGAACCACTCCTCCCCCTGCCCCACCTCGCACCCTCAGGCACTTCCTGGGTCTGCTCCCATCTCCCACCTCCCCAGGGCCTCCAGGCTCATCTCACTGCCCCTGCAGCCCCTCTGCCTCCCCTGCTCTGGCCAGGCTGCCTCCAGGGCCTGGCGCGGGCCACAGGCCCCTCCTCTGGCAGGACGGCTCCCTGGGTGACTTCCCTGCTGTCCTCTGCTGCTGGGTTTGGCCGGGTCCACCTCTTGTGTTAGAATCTGGAGGTGACATTGCTCCTCTTCTCAGAATGGAGCCTTCGTCTCTGGCACCTCTTGCAGAGGTCAGCCCGATGCCTGCCCCGGGCAGTGCTCACACAGCTCTCCTGGAAAGCAGAGCGTTCCAAGGCAGGGCTGAGTGGCCCACCCAAGGTCCAGCAGCTGCTCAGTGGCAGAGCTGGCATGGCCCCTGCTGGCTTCTCTACGCTGATTTTCTCTGACTCAGCCACGGACACCTTGGGTCCTTGGGGTATGTTCTTCTGAGTTTCACTTAAATATTTTCCACTTACACAATCTCTTAAAAGACAAAACGTGGTGGGGATGTAGCTCAAGGCCCTGGGTCCATCTCGGGCACCACAAAAACAAGCGTCAGTTATAAATGCTGTCTTCTCCTACAGACACAATGTGCATTTGGAAAATGTGCTTAGCTTCTTAAGGCAGTGTTGGTCCACCCTGGGTCCCTGCAGCCAGCCCGAGTGTCCACCGCTGAGGTTCAGATTGTGCTTCCGACAGTTGGCCAGCAGAGCGTGAAGAGGCGGGACGCTGGGAGGGGCTGGCCAGCTGCACCCTCACCTCCCGAGCTGTGACCGCAGCCGTGTCTTTTCCTGATGGTTGTTGGAGTGGGAGCCCAGGTGGCGCCTGTCCTCCCTCTGAAACGCTCCTGGGAGTCGGGCGTGCGGTGGTGCCCTGGGATGCACAGGGTGAGGTGTTGCAGGGGAGCACATCCCTGTGGGTGCCTTCGGTGGAAGTGCGGCTGCCATTCCCGTGGAGCAGTGCCGCCCAGCCTCTGGCCCTGCACGGAGCATGGCCACGGTCCCGCTCTGGTCCATCCTGCGTGTGGGCAGCATTGCTCACATTGTCCTCCTCTCTGCTCTTTCAGATCCGAAGGACATCAGATGCTCCTCCACCCTGTCCATGGTAAGGCTCACTCCAGTTCTGGTCACCTTCTGGACCTAGGTGCTATTGGCCGGTGTCCTCACCCCAGGCCTGGTTCTCTCTGGACTGGCCATGGCTGTGTCCATCTGGTGCACTCTGGATTCCTCACTGAGGGAGCCAGGGGCAGGGGCCTGGCACAGCTTCTCCAGGAGGGGCCACCTCCTGGCTCTGCCCTGGGGCTGGGGTCTGCGTGAGTGGAGAAAAAGACTCAGGTGAGCTGGTTAGCTCACCCCCAGAGGGCCCCGGGACTGCCCAGCACACTGAGCGCTCCTGGTCAGGTTAGTTGCACGTGGCCCTTGTCCTGGTGACCATCGGCCCTGCAGCAGGGCACGCACCCTGCTGCCTCCCTGCCATGTCCGCTGCCCTCTTGAGTCACTGTCTCGCCTTGGGCCAGCCTCTTGGCTCCTGTCCCCTCCCCTGTTTGGCCTGGGGGCGGGCTCCTGCAGTCCCCCCACCTCCAGCCCCACTCCCATACCATACCACACCACTCCTGGCGCGTCTTGTGGTATGAACTGCCATCTTAAAAGAAAGGCCTCTGGCCTTCTGTCCTGCTCCAGGCCAGTCCCCTTCTCTCCTCGGGCCCCCACCGTTCCACTGAACTGGCCACCAAGGTGCCAGCAGCATCTGGTCATGTGGGGTGGGCATTACCTCTCTCACCCAACTTGAGCTGTTTGGCTGGGCTGTCCTCCCTCCATGAGCCACTCTCCTTGGACTTGTCGTGGTCACCTCACCTTGCTGGTTTTCTGGTGGCACACTGACTGGATGGCCTGGGCAGTGTTGTGGCCCCTCTGCAGAGCCCGCTCCTTAGCCTGCTTGGCCCTTGTGTACCTTCCGCTGCAGGAGAGCCTCACACGCTGCTCCAAGCAGTCGTTGTGCGTTGACACCGTCGTCCCTGAGCTCCATGGTCGTTGATGTCACTGTCCACTTGAGCTTCCCATGGAACCATCTGGTTGTCCCCTCAGACCTAGCACAGCCAGAGTAGACTCTCGATTTAGCCCCATAGACTCACTAATCTTGGCATTGCCCATCTTGGCCCAGGGCCCCTGACCACCCACAGACAGACACTCGCATTCGTCCAGCCCCTCTGGCCTCCACGCCACCTGTGCAATCCTGTCGGTTCTGCTCTTAGCATGGGTTTGGGGGGGCGGGGTGCGGACACGCTCTTGTCACCTCCACCTGCCTGGCCCTCCGTGCTCCTCCCCAGAGCCCTCTGTGCTTCAGATCACTCCTCACACTCCCCCTGCAAAGACCTCTCCAGGCACAAGGCAGCACATGTCCTGGCCTGGCCTGGTGGCTCTCAGTGGACATTTCACTGGGCAGGAAGTCCTTTTCACCCTCTGCTCTCTGTCCTGTCCTGCCGCAGTCCTGGCCTCGTGCAGGAGAGGGCGCCAGAGCTCCCTTCCCGCCCATTGTTAATAGACTGGTAGGGCTTCCGCCTTCAGTTCATTTGAAACAAAGGGTTCTGGTGTTTTACTAAACAAACAAACAAAAAAAATAAGAAAATGAATTTGAGAGCCACTACCTTCTGGAAGATTAAACCTAGTATGGCTTTTGAAACTGTAGTCACCAGAAGACGTTGCTGAAGCCATCTTCCTGCCGTGGCCTGGGTTTCGGGGTCTGGGGCTTGTGGAGACTCATGCCGAGTTTGGGGGGCGCACGCGGGCTCCCCTCCACCTGGCCGGGCCTTTCCCACAGTGGTGTCTGGCCTGGGGATGGGAAACGTGGACAGGCAGGGCAGGGGCTTGGGGAAGGGCCTGTCTTCCCCGGAGCCAGCCCCTAGGAGTCCGCAGAGCAGGCCTGGGCCCCCGGAGGCTCTTCTCCCGCCGTGTGCGTGCACCGGGGCTGCCACCTCTGCTTTATTTTGCTCTTCGAATCTTCTCTGAGCAGTTCACTGAGCTCGCATGGAGCCCAGGTGCCCGCAGGGCATGGGACAGCCTGGTCCTAGGGCATGGCTCCCCGCTCCCCCCCCCCCCCCCCGTCCCTGGGGCTGCTCACTGGGTCATGGAGAAGTTGGCGTGATTCTGGGGACAATGCATCAGCTTCTGCAGACGGCCAGCACTCCCTCTTCTGAGAACATGTCCCACTGAGTGCCCCGTCCTGCCACACAGTCCTGAGGGCCTCAGCAAGGGGGGAGGCAGCCTGGCCCACCCAGAGTGCTGTTCCTCTGCGTGGCGGGAGGTAGGTAGGAAGCGGGCCACCAGGAAGACCTCTGAACTGCCTGGCTCTGAGGGAGCTGTGTTCTGAGGTGTTATTTCATGGTAGGGTCCTTATTTTTTCCAATATTTTAAAGTTTTTGTTATGGAAACTTAAAAACCTAAAAATGTTAAAATAGTTATAGGATGGACTTTAGGATTTCCAAAACAGTCTGGAAAAAGAACAAAGTTGGAAGAACAAGCGGCCTGATTGCAGTGCTCCCTGCAGAGCTGCCGGAACTGAGCGGCAGTGTCAGCACGGGGCAGACACACCGTGGGCGGGACTGAGAAGCCAGAGAGGACCTTGTCCTGACGGGCAGTCGATGTGACAGGAGCACTGGGTGTCCAGCGGGTGAGGGTCATCACAACACAGGCGCCGGGACAGAGGCACCCACCATAAGTTAAAGTGGACCCGGGACCTAAATAGGAGCGAAACCCTTGGCAGAAAACAAGGAGTGCGTCTTCATGACTTCAGGCCAAGCCTCCTCTGAGCAGTGCACTGAGCTCGCATGGAGCCCGGTTGCCCTCACCCTCTCCGCGGGCCACCTCCTGGTGTGCCCTCGGCTGTGACGCCAAGAGTGCAGGGGTGTACCTGTCCCGTTTCTGTTGTGAATAACACAATACTTGGCCGGGTGAGTGTTAAGAAAGAGGTTATTAGTGCCCTTGGCTCTGGGGTGCAAGGTCGAGGGCTGTCTCTGGCAGCAGCCTTCCTGCTGGTAGATACCGCAGCACCAGGCAGGGCGAGGGTCAGCCTACCTGTGTAGGAGTCTTCGGGAAGCCATCGGGATTCAGTTGTGGGGCTCCGCCCGATGGCCTCATCTCGCCCCAGTCACCCCTCCCGGGCCCCTCCTCCAAACAGCACAGTTAGGTCCAGGTTCCACACTCAGATACCTTGAGGTGGAGCTGGACTTCAACAGGCAGCGCCGACGGGGCACACCCAAGCCACACACAGAATTAAAATTGCATCATTCCAAGGGAACCACCCAGAAAGTGAAAGCACAGCTCCACAGGACAGGGAGGGAAATATTTCCAAATCATGTCTGTTAAGGGACTGTACCTGCATCTATAAAGAGCTGTTAAAAACCAGGAATCGAACGACAAGCCAGTTAGCCAGGAACGGGGGTGCACACCTCTAGTCCCAGCAACTTGGTGGCTGCAGCCAGAGGGTAGCAAGTTCAAAGCCAGCCTCAGCAACTTAGCAAAGCCCTATCTCAAAAGATTAAAAGGGCTGGGGCTGGGGCTTAGTGGCAAAGTGCCCCTGGGTTCAATCCTAGTACCAAAAAAAAAAGACAACCAAGTTAAAAAGTGGCCCAAGGATCCAAACAGACATTTCTCCTAGGAAGGTATACAAGTGGTCCATGAACACACAAATAGCTGCTGAGCATCACCAGCCATCAGGAAAATGTGCTCAGAACCACTGGGGTGCATCCACACCCCACGGGATGGCTGGGATCAGCGACAGACAAAACGTGTCCCTGGGGTGGGAGCTCACTGCAGTGCAGGTGTGAATGGCCTCGCGCGGGGACCAGCCCTGCCGTTCCTTGAAGAGTCAGGTGTAGGCTTGCGTGTGGCAGCAGTGCCAGTCCCCAGAATGTCCCCAGGGAGAGAGCACGTGTCCTCCATCGAGCTGGCTCACGAAGGTTACTGGCATGATGTGTAGTAGCCACACCATGGTCGCAGCCACAGTGTGCCGGCTGGTGGGCAGCCGGATAGAGCACAGGGTGCAGGGCAGCTGGAGCTGAGCACCCACACACTCCACGGTGAACCCCCCAGCCCCCGTGTGAAATGCACAGAAGAGCCAACTCAGGAACGGAGAGCAGATGGCGCAGGGCGGCAGGGCCTGGGGACAGGAGGGTCTGCTCCTGAAGGCGACAGATCTGCTGTGAGATGGGCGCGGTGGTGGCTGTGAACTCTGAGTTGAGCTTGAGCAATGCCCTCACCGCGCCGCCTCCTGGTGCTGCCGTGGGGTTTAAGGCCCAGGTGCTCTCTGTTACCACACCCGTCAGCGCTCAGACCCCCGGCTGTGGCACGCGGGGTTCTGTGTGGTGCTTAAACAGGTCCAAGCCTGGCCTGACCGCCCCTGGGCCAGCATGTCCCTGGCGCCTCTCATTGATAAGTGGCTGTGTTTATTTTTCATTTGTAGTTTTCCTCCGTTGAGTGGCTTCTGTTGAGGAAAGCGTGTTTGTCCTGTGGAGTCACCCCCATCGGGGGCTTCATGGCCACTTCCCCGGGTGCTTCTAGCATGCTCCTCTGTCCCCATGTCCTGCAACCTGGTAGCCATGGTCCAGCCCAGAACTGAATTTCCCAACCAGTTTCCCTTTCAACTGAATCACAAGAGCTGTGAATTAGAGGCTGGGGGTTTTCCTGTCTGCCTCAAGTCCGAGGATGCTAATGAAGGAAATGTCTCTCTGCCTGGGCCTCCTGCTGCTGAGGAGTGTTGGGACTGGTCCTTCCGGTTCATCCTGCTCTCTGTGTTATTTAGGTTTATGGCATCTGTTAGGGACCCCAATCTAGGGCCCGTGTTAGGGCTTTGACAGATTTAATGCTGTTATCTCCAAGCAGAAGGGAAACGCACAGCCTTCTACCAAAACCAGGTGGAGAGGTACTTCTGTCTTGCCTCACCAAGTCAGCCGCCCAGGGTGAGCCGAGGGACGCAGGCTCCTGCCGCTGCTGTACCCCTGGGCATGGGTTACAGGCCAAGATGGTCCACCCCGGGCAGTCCTAACAGTGCCTGGCACAAAGTGGAAGCTTAATAACTGTTGAGTGAATGAGCAGGTGGTCAGTCCAGATGGGGGCTGGACTCCAGCTGTGTCATCTGTGTCCTAGCCAGTGGGAGGAGGGCAGGCCCCTTCCCTTCCCGGACACTTCCTCAATGCTCCTCACTGCTGCACCTTGCTGTCCCCCAGAGCTGCAGAGGGGCTGTGGGAAGGGCTTTGCCTTGAGCCCGTGTCCCTGACTGAAAGGCCTGGGCTTTGTCCAGGGGGAAGAGGACGTACATGCATGCTGGCTTTGAGAGCAGGCCAGCCTCTGCCTCTGCCTGGCCTGGTGAGGGGACACACCAGGTCCTTGCCTGACCTGGACATTTCCCTTGCAGGCACTAAGCCCAGGCTTCCTCAGAAGGGCTATCGCTACGGTTCAGATGGGGGTCCGCAGAGCCCTGCATGCGGCTGGGGTCCGGCGGTCCACCTGACAGTGACAGCGGCTCCAGCCAGCTCGTCTCTAGACCCCTGGGATGCTGCCCGGCCCCCATAGCAGGTCTCCTGGGTGGCATCCAGGGCTGGCAGCTTCCTTCCCTCTAGCTGACCCAGAGCCAGAGGTCGAGGTGCCCGGGCCTCTTTGTCTTGGTGACTGTGACGATTCGGACAGTGTGGATCACATCCCACTGCGTGGAGAACAATCCCTCAGCGTTAAGGAAGTTCATTCAGAGTGTGGCTGAACAGGAAGGATAAAACCTCACCAGGAGAGGTTGGGACACCACCTGGGCCCTGCTCAAGGTCACCAGGGGCTCTGCACACAGCCCCTGGGTGCAGGTGGGCACAGCCTGGTGTCAGCTCCTGAGCCTGGGTGACCCCGGAGTCCCCACGGGGCCCTCAGCGGGTGTCCCTCCCTCACCCCTGCGTCTCCGTCTGTTCTTTAAGAAAGGAGTTTATTTCCACCTGCTGTGGCCCGAGACTCTGGAGGTGAAATTGAACTCCTCTTCGGCCCATTGCTTTATTTGAACTGTTTCTCGTATTTTCTCTGTGTCATGTTTTTGTGGGGACAGGAAGTATCCTTGCCACGGTAAAGGTAGCTGAATTTCTGGCTGTTGCTTGAATAATTGCTCTAACTACATTTTTCCTCCCAGCACTCCAAAGGCTACGAGAGCACAGTGGACAGGTTCAGACTCCACAGGCCAGCCCTGCACGGCGAGAAGAGCCGGCCTCTGGTGAGTCGCGCAGCGCAGCGCGGGCTGCAGGCCGTAAGGTCCTTCGAGCCACAGGGCCGCCCATTCCCCTGGGTGTGCCACCAGCTTCCAGGGTCTTTACAACTTGGACCTCGGAGTTTCACCAGTAAAGCTTGGGCTTGCCCGCTTGGCCTTCTTTGGCTACTAGGCTAAACCCATTTTATGTCGTAAATCAAATGTGAAAGTGATTCACTCGTTCAACAGCTGTTTCCAGGTGTCCCCAGCACTGTTCCCTGCTGGGGGGAGGGGAGGTGGGGACAGATGGGAAGTGAGCAGAGGTGGAGGAGTGAGCGTGCTGGAGGAGGGCCGGGAGCCGGAGCTCTCTGTTCCCAGGGGCTGCCCTCAACAGGTGGCATGGTGCAGGATGCAGGGCAGGAGCCCACAGGTCCTGCGCCTCGAGGGGTCGGCAGGGAGCACGCAGGGGTGGATGTGAGCTGCACCCCAGACCCAAGAGCAGGTGAGGGAGAGAGGAAGAGCATACGCAGGCGCCCCGCCCTCCCGCCTTGCAGATGAGGCACAGAGCTGCTGAGCTGCTGCTCTTCTGTGGCACTGGGAGGCTCCTGCCAGCACCCGGGTCTTTACCCTCCCTTCTCCTTCAGGATTCTTCCAGAAGACCCTCATCCCTGCAACTTAACTAACTATACTGAGCATCCAGGGCCAGTTCAGACCTGGTTTTAATCCTAGAAATAAGCTATTTTCTTTTTAAATCAAATTGCTTAAAGGCTAAATATATCAACATAATTTTTTCTTTATTTTCTGGGGAAATTTATTTGTGGTGGTTGAAACATTAATAGAGGGAAGCTGCTATCTAGTGCTTCGTATTCTTTGGATCTTGGGGAGTGTGAGCACTGGCTAATGCAATCAAAAATGCTTTAGTCTGTATTGACTGCTGAGTTTACAGTGTTTAAAAATCACATCTTAATGTCCACCTGGCTGCAGCTCCTGATGTTCCTACAGATTGATTGACCTTCTCCTCTGAATCCGGACCACAGGCCCTTGTCCTGATGTCCTCATCTGAAACTAGCCTTGCTCTGAGTATAGCTTCCCTCTTTCCTTTTCTGTCCCTTCTATAAAAGCCTATTCGCTAACATGCCACCAAAGTGCCAGTTACATATTTAGAAGCCCAGCAGGTCATTTCAGGCCAAAGGAGATAGGAACTGGCCAGACGGTTGCTGGCAGCTCGCTGGGCATCCACTCTCAGCAGGCCCCTGCCCCTTGCCCTTGGGTTAGGGTCAGGAAGCAGTGTCCCATCAGCATGGTGGGACACCCTGGCTGCTCTCTTGCCCAGAGTGACCCGCGGGGCTCCGACCTCCCACAGGGCGCTGTGGCCTCTGTCGGTGCCGGGCGCATCCTTAGTGGCTAAATGAAGCCTCAGGCCAGGGAAGTGAACTCGAGAAGGAGCCAGAGCTCTGGTGTCACGTGGGCAAGCAGCAAGCCCTCCTCTGGTCCTCCTGGGGTTGGTGGTCAGTGGCTTGGGATGGTCCTAACGTGCCATCCCTGAGGCCACTGTCCTCCCTAGCCTCTGTGATTGACTGGGGCTCAGAGTAAAAGACACGGGGTGGGCGTGTTCATACGGTGACATTCCATCTGCACCTTTGGGACAGAGCGTCCCAAGCTGTCCCCTGGTGGCCGTCCTGCAGCAGGGTGCAGACAGCTTGGGGCCCTCTTGCGCATGCCCCTCGTGTGTGCCTGAGCGTTGATCTGACCGTGTGTCTGTTTTCCCGTCCCCTCCCCTGCTGCACCCGCCCTGCTGGAGTGGGACCCACTGGGTTCTCACAGCCGAGGGCCTTGGCTCCTGGGAAGGGTGAACCCGAGAGGGGAGGGCTGTGGTCCCAGCAGCCCCTGCGCCCAGCAGGCTCCACAGGCCCTGCATGATCGGAACCTGCCTGAGTAGGGGTCAAGAGTAGGGTCTCTTTGGCCCTGTGTCTTCTTTTCCATCTCCTCCACACTACAAGGGACTGGGTTTTGGTGACAGGGAAACCCAAAAAGGGTCGAGGGGATGTGGGCACAGTTCTCCACCTGCACAGAGCTGGGCTCCTGGCTGCTGCGGGAGCTCAGGGCCTGGGTCTGTGGCTCTAAGCCAGCCCAGCAGGTGGCGCCCTGGAGCACCCTAGGAGTCCTGGAAGGGCAGTGGGGTGGCCCGGCATCTGGGGCTGCTCTGGGGCCCCGGGGCTGGTGTGTGGCTAGTTCAGAGTCCAGAGCGCCCCTTTCCCGGCTAAGCAGGCCTTTGCCCTTTCGTTTTCTCTCTGTGTGGCTGCACTTCATCTACTGGCTCACCAACGCCCTGTTTAGAAAGGCCAGTGGTGTCCTGCGGTTCTCAGTCTAGACCCGGGGACCAACCAGCCTGGGCTGCCCCCAAGACTGCTGCAGCAGGGCAGTGCCACCTGGCCTCGGGGCTCTCGGGTGCCCAGGAAAGTCCTGTGTGCAGCACGGCGGTGATTGCGTCTCCAAGCATCGCTCCTGAGAGGGAGTCCACTCCCAAACTCAAAACGCGGCTCCTTGATTCCCCCACCTGATGAGTCAGTGCTGGGAAGCTGCAGGGCTTCACCCCTGGGCTTCACCGCCACACGGAGGCATCAGACTGTCCGGGTCAGTGTGAGGATGTCAGGCAGCCAGCTCTGGCTGCGAGTCCTGGTCAGGGCTCCCAGCCTCTGGGACCACACAGGTCCCGGGCACC